CATGAAATTGCTTTTCAGGCTCCCAAATGTTCTCATCACTTTTTGATTATTTGTAACATGGTGAGACGAAATAAAACACAAAAGTAAAATTCAAACTAAATTTATTTAAAATATTTTGTTAAGGTAATGAAAATACAATTTTGTGTAAAGCCAATAATTATTTTATACGTATAGTTTATTGATGTTATAATATTATTTTCGTTCTATTTAAACACCATGAATAATTAGGGTTTATCAATTGCAATAAAACATGAAATAAATTTGCGAAAATGAGATTAAAATAAATTTTTGAAAGTTTTATTAATGAGAGGATGATTTGTGTTGACGTGGGTATTTTCATGAGTTGAGTGAAGTTATTTGTCGCAAACCGATATAGGTTTATGAACCGCGTCTGCTTGCTCTTGAATCCAGCATCGAGAGTAATTTGAAATAACAAGAGAACGAAATAGGAGCGTATCCAAAACCGGTGTTCCTTATCCGGGCGTACGTGAATATTAATAAGGAGCTTTGGTATTGTTTCATGTTTGGTATAGCGCGAAAATCCGCAGATGCAACAACGACAGCTGAATATTTTGGCATGCGATTGTAGTAGAGAAGATTGATTCAGAATCGATATCGTTCCTTGGAGACTCACCACAGTTAAAAAGGTGGAATATTAGCCAAGGGCTATTATCATATGACACATAACAAGAATCCCCTTTTAAAAGGCTGGGACACGAAACGCATTGCGAAAAGGGGGAATGGTTTCGGGCTATTAGCTGCATCGGTTCCATAATTATTAAACAATTTGGCGATAACACCGGGGGCATTTGGTGTAAGGTTTGGACATTCCTTGCGCTTCCCGTTCAGCTAATTGTTCCATCTTGCATCTCATATTCGCATAACGAACTAATTAACTCTGGCGGTTAATCGGTATTGAGTTACTTTAATTACGGGTAACAGGGACGTTCTATCAACAGCTGCGACAAGATGTCGCGATAGCAACACATTTTTCTATAAGATTATCGACCCGGGGACCAACATTTACACAAATAACTTTATTTACCTAATGAAAAATAAACTTTTAGCTGAGTTGAATCCCAAGCCACAAAGCTCATTATTTTACCCTGAATATCAATTTTACACACTCTGAATGTCCGATTTATCCTCATCTTAGTTCTAATTTTAGAAATATTGATCAATATGTTCACTCCTAATTAACTAGTTTGTGTCTAACTACACAAATAGTATAAATAGTCCACGGTGCATAATTACACTGCCAAAACTGACAGTTATATATTTAGTCTATTGGGAGAAAAATTTTTTATGCGTCAACAATACACGATAAAAAATTATTATTATAAGAGGACTTTGTTTGATGGAACTCATAAAAACGTATTGAGTTTGTTCAGATTCTGAAATAACGGGGGAATGTAGGTTATCTGTTTACCAGAAAATGCAATAAATTATTGCAATGTCCAACAATTTTCGTACTTGTAGTTTTCATCGTTTTGACTACACTACTTATTCGTTGTCACATCATTCATCATACTCGCACCGACATAATAAATAATGGCCTATTTTTTCACGATTTTCAAAATTCTGACACTGTGCCACTATATTATCCCGATCAACGGAAATCACTAGCACTACTTTAAAGAGGATAATTCTCTCTATCACTACATATATATCAGACAGAAATGAGGATTCCAAAGCACTGCCATGAAAATCAATAGCCGATTCTGGATATCTAAAGACCGCGTTTTAATGAAGAAAAATTTAAGCGCAAAGTGATGGCTTTTTCTGTAAGGTAAATCACAACTCCAACATAGCAAAAAATACAATTGTTCTGCGATTATGGCGTGGTATAATCAAAACGGTTTAACAGAACATTTAATTTCAATTAAAGGTTGATTATGTGTTAATTTAAAATTTACAGAGTAAATAAATAATTATTTCAATTAAAACTTTAATTATTTAATAAAGTTCAGTGAGTTTGTTTCACTGTTTCGAAGAGAGTAACATAAAAATTTGGTCTCGATTTAGTCTAGTAAGGAGATAAAATTGTGGTTCGTTTAAGTTCGCTGTCGGAGTTTGTTCTTGTTGGTTGTGTAATGAATGCGTGGAGTAGCATTATCAAAACATTGCGAATGTAACTGAAAGTTGTGGAGTTTGAATTGCAATTTAAAAGTTAGTGGAAGTAAGTGTGTCCGTTCCGTCCTGGTTGATAAACTAAACTTAATTTTTTTGCATAAAGTTTAGAATGGTTTATTATCGATTGGATTGTCGATTTGTCGTTTGTATAGTTAATGAATGATATTGAAGTAAGAATAAAGGCTTGCGGTCCCTTGAGCTTTTTGGATGTGTTGGCGGCGTTTTTGCTGTTGGCTCATTTATCGAATTAAAGAGGCGCCGCCAGTGTCCAAATGGGGTAGACGTCGTGGGGGATTAAATGAGCCGGGTCCCAGTAGCGGCCACCTGCGGCCAGAGCGGTTTTATAGCCCCACGCGCCCCACACCTGAGCTAGAAAACGAGAACTAGTCTAGTTCGAGTTCGAGATGATTTCGTAAGTCAGCGCCTGCGTGCATCGTCATTCATATTGACATCCCGAGAGTATTGCGGTTGAAGAGAAGAGAAACGCTTCCAGAAGTGGTACAGTTAATCAATTTGTAAGCCGCATTTCCGACACCGGTCCTTGCCAACAGGACATGCCGCACGTGTGCATTAATTACCTGCCGTTCGGTATTATCCTCCAGGACGTCCTCTTTCACTCCAATCGCTTCCAGATCGAATAGTTTGCAGTAATTAAAACACTCTAATTGTCCTCACCGAACGCTTTGTATAAATAGTTAGCGTTCTTCGCTTGCCCTCTTTAATTAAACGCCAAAATTAACTTTTTTCCCTTTCCAAAAATCAAGAATTTTAATCAAACTCATTTCCATAACACTTACTCCTCGATGCACGGCCATCTACAATTTCGTGCATGTACAATATACTCCTACACGAAACTTAAAACTACAAGAAAAAATTTCGCACATTAAATATTCTCTAAGAAACAGTGCTGCATGTCAACAACACACCCTTTCATCGCGTTATTATAAATTCTATCAAAGGCAATTGGGATTAAAGTAAGAAGCCTTCATCGAGCAAACAGGAACGAACAGCATCAAAAGATTTTTTATCCCAGCCATGACTATGCTAGTGGTGATAATGCTTTAGCCTTTCTTTCACTTCCGCATACATAAAACACCAATTTTTTAAAATACGACACTACATTTTCACAAACCATAACATATTCTAATTAAAAAATATATATTTGTATTGAAAATTTGTTAGAATAATTTCGAATATAATGTGAGAGTAAAAAAGTAATGCAACATAATCTGCTTTTAATGAATTTATAACAGTATTTCCTTGTACACAGCTACATACCTACTATTATTAATATAATATTAATAATAATAATTTGAGTTGACTTCTAATATAGTAACCAGTTGTAAGAATGTGTATTAGTTTGGTATTTTTCATGACATTTCTTGTAAGGAAATACTATGCTAATTACCCTATTGTATTGCAACACTTTCACGAGTTAAAATTAATTTTCTATTCCACATTGTTTCCAACCCTTTAACACACATCATGCTAACGTCACTTCCTATTAATTCTTCACTTCATTCAAAATTCCACCAAAAATATCCGAAGCAAGAAACACTCAAACCGATTTACAAATGTCAGAATCAGGTAATATTTGTGAAACAGAGCATTCAACGAAACGTACGATTTCAGAATCGAATAATTTCGTCGATTCTTATATTCTTTTCTTTATTTTGCCATCGGTGGACGCTTTCAACCTTAGATTAAAACTCAAACGCCAATGTATTACTGCAAATATTCACTCTAATCTAATTGAAATTACCCAACAATGTTAACTATATCTGCTCTATCAAACGGTTACAACACAAACTGAAATTAATTTACAGCTTAGGGGACAATAAATAATATTATAGTTTTATTTTGAGGTTTGTATTGATTTCGGGAAAAGTTAAATATTTTATGTAGATGAATAAAATATTTTGTTTCGGTGATTAAAATTGGTGAAATTTCGTTTTTATTTGTAATTTAAGTGCTTTATAGTTTTATTTTATGTTTAATATTCGTTTTGTAATCCGGTCGTTGGACGTCCTTTCAAAAGTTTCAAAGCGAATTGATCTCATGTGGGAGGCAATAAAGACTGTCAATATTCAGTGGTCTAGTGGTGCTTGTTACAGATTCGGCCGTTCGAACGTCAGGAGTATGTGCACGAGCCGATAAAGTAATATTAATGAGTTTGGGCCCCTCGCGGTTCTATCTGACATTCAGCAGGCTGGGAAGTCTGTAATGTCGGATTTCCAACGATACAATTTCGCACTTACCAACATCTGCTACTTGCATTTTAAAAAGCAAAGGGTTAATCAAGGGACGCGACAAATAAAATGAAATAATTTCGAAAGGGGGACTTTTTTAATATGCGATTACCTATATAAAGTTTCGATGGGATTAGGTGTAAATACAGCGGAAAATGGTTTGGGTGGTCCTCTTGTTTTAATCAAGTGCAATCCTCGCAGCAATCTGCTCAATTACTGTTTTAACCCTCGTGGGACCAACTGAGCTAGTCGCTAAACCCATCAAGCCTTATTTTTCTAAAAACAACTTCGATACCCCTCAACATTCCGTTCGTTCTATTCCCTGCATATGGTAACGGTACAAAGAGATATTGTATACTTTGAAGCGAAGCACGAGAAAAAAACTCTCAAATACTGTGACAAGTGTTAAAGAAGCCCACATTTTAATTTGGTGTATGATTAATACGTTGTTTAATTTTTTTAATGCCGGGAATAGTTTAGTTACACGAGTCGACAAATGTACGTTTGTTATTTATTTTTAGCCGCCACAATGCGCATCGTGCGTATTTTAAGCTCATTACCTTGGAGGGTTATTTGCGCTTGACGCAAATATCCCCCTGGACGTAAATCGGCACTTACCGGTCAGCGCAGCCGATGCGGAAAGTGTGTTGTTATCGTCAGGTGTTCGCAGACACGCGACAAGCTTACGAACTGTCTGAACAACGCGCTATCAGCGACTAAAAGCCGCTACGAGTCGGAGCGTTTGGGCGACCCCTGAGCGTCGGCGGCGGTCGGCGGTGGTCGGCGTCCCGCGCACTGCTCTAGCGCCGCCCGGCGCCTATTTGTGCCCCCTAAAAAAAGGCGACAAACTCATGTGCGTCTCGTTAAGGTCTCATTAACCTGGAGTAGCCGACGACCAACCCTCCAAATGACCCGATACAACGAAGAGAAAAGATAACGCGCATTGAAATACAAGACTTTCTTATCGCGTTTATGACGGTTTTAGAGAGAAGACGGAGGTAATAGCCAGGTAGAGCAGCTGGAGATATGACCGGATGTGACAAGACTTTGTGACCCTCATGACAATGATGACGAGACGAGAGAATTAAAGGACGCACAGGCACGGACCGGCCCGGACGACATCGCTCAACGGCTTCCGCAGTTCACAAATGTAATTATTTGTCACCAATTGATGCAAAAAGGAACACTTTAACTCCGAAATAAATTAAACTGAAATTGAAATTATCATATTGTGTATGTTTATGGAAATAATTGTTTTATGTTATTATTATCAATTATGAATAATTAAAGTTTTATGTTAACGAACTGAATTTTGACTGACATCTCAAAAACTGTTGTTCGTTGATAAATGAAACAAAAAGAGATTTGGAATTCTGAAATAATTTTACATAGAGCGAAGAATCAAGTTTCTTAGATTATATTTCTCGATGGAAAAAAATTTTGAATAAACTACTCACTTAATTTTTACCTTCACTTACTGAATTTTGATCAATAACTCAAAATTTATTTAGAGTAAAGAAAAAATTATGTCAGATTTGAATTTCTGAGACAATTTAACATTAAAAAAAAATAAAAGTCTTAGGATATATGCATTAATGGAAAAAAATCTTGAATGAACCTCTCACTTAAAGTTTTTACCTTCTCTTATTGAGTTTTGATCTAGCTCTCAAAAACTATTGGTTTCTTGAACACTCCAACTCCGAAAGAGATTAAACTGAAATTGAAGTTATTATATTATGTTGTATGTACATACATACGTTTATAGAAAAAAATTCTTGAACTTCAACTAAAGTTTTATATTAACGAACTGAATTTTGAATGAAATCTTAAAAAAGAAGATTTGGAATTCTGAAATAATTTTATATAAGAAGAACAAAGAACCAATATTCTCAGATTCTATTCCTTGATGTAAAAAAATCCTGAATAGGTTACGTACTTAGTTTTTACCTTCACTTACTGAATTTTGATCGATATCTCAAAAATTATTGAAAGTAAAGAAAAAATAATGTCAGATTTCAATTTCTGAGACAATTTTACATAAGAAAAAAAAATAGATTTTTTTAATCTAATTTTAATTTTAATTTTTTCCTTAATGGAAAAAATTATTGAATGGACCTCTCACTTAAAGTTTTTACCTTCCCTTATTGACTTTTTATCGATTTCTCAAAAACTATTGGTCTTAGAGAAAAAAAGCATCAGATTGAAATTCTAAGACAATTTCACATAAAAAGACCAAAAAAGTGTGATATTTAGATTATACACGTTTATGGAAAAATTCTTGATTAGATACTCATTTAAAGTTCTTACGTCAACAAATTAATTTCGATTGAAATCTCAAAACTTGTTGCTTGTAAATAAAACATAAAAGTAGATTTGGAATTATAAGATAATTCTACATAAGAAAAAAATTAAGGTTTTAGGTTATATACTTTGATACAAAAAGTCTACGTAATAAAATGAAAGAAATTTTAATATTTTTTTTAAATCAAAAGCAAACTAATTTTGAATTTTTTAGAACCTATTCAGTGTGATAGAATAACAAAACGTTGAGTTTTATTTAATTAAAACCACTGATTAGGTAATGAAGGTCAATTAAATCATTTATAATGATTTTTTAATTAGGTGAATTAATAACAGTGAATATTTATTCTCATTACACTTAACTAAAAACTGTATTCTGGTAAATTATAAAACGCTGGTAGTGGCTTTTGCTCACTTTTTATTTTTTGCCCATAAATGATCAAATCATAGATTTTGTGGTAAAAAAATAATGTATAAAATTCAATCAAAATATAATTTCCAAAAACCAAAATAGACAGACATGCAGTTAGAAGACTTATGATAAACATAAAAATCTGCTTTTGTTTAATTATTAATTATTGTTATGTATCGATAACTTTCAAACAAATCGTAATTTTCAAATTATCTCAAAGTTGACGAAATAAAAAAGTAAAAATCCAGTATTTTGTTATAAGTCATTGGTAACAGTGTTGCAACTGCTTTACAAAAAGCTTTTTGAGTTAGAAGATAATGGAATACCAAAAAAGGGTGAGACAAATGTCGCGTATAATTCTGAAGTATTCAACTTTATCATCTTTAATAAGTTCATACTTATTACAGCTATTAAGCGTTCATTTTTAATTAAATCCGACATTTGTAGACTATAAAAAGTTGAAAATAGTTGGTTGAAGTTCGTGCTCCAATTAGGTCACGCCCTAGTTAAAAACGTTGTAAATAGGATTTATAATCTCCTAATTAACTCTTAAAAACGGTTATTTGTCAGGTTTCAAACGTTTGAAAAAAGAATTTTGTTTCGGTGGGTGGTTCGAAATTTATTGTTTTAAATTTTGACAATAGATTATGTTTGGTGTAAAATTTATTTGAATAGTAAGTGCCGTATAAAAGGTATTGTATAGATTTTCTAGTCAATTTTGTTCAATTCAAGTGTCTTTTATATTCCACATCTTGGTGTATTTTTGTGTTAAATGACGGAATAATTTAGACATGTGTAACACTGTAGTTCCACATGTAATAAATTTTATAGAAATATGGCGACGACCAGGCGATTTCTTCTTCTTTATGTCCTTTCGAGTATCTTCTATTTTCTCAGTTATGCGTGGTAGTGATGTACAACAATCGCATATATGTTCATAAAGTTGTATATTTACGATTGTGTTCTCTTTTATTAACTGTTGGTAATATTTCTTGTATCTGTAGTTTATTTTTAAAGACGCTTCACAAGTAATTACATATTTTTACTGTAATATTTTATTTATGAGAGTAAATCTAGGATGGCAGCAAGCTTTAAAATGAATACATAATAAAAGGGTAGATTTTATGAATGTGAATCTTGCATTTATTTTTCTTGACATTAACGAGTGGCGTGGAAAAGATGACCCGCCGCTTAGTGTGGTTAAAATTAAAAGTCCGGCCCTCAACTCGTCAAAGTGTCGAACGTGTATCTAGCGCCTCAGGTATCCTAGGTATCCATCCGCCTCAGACGGCCGCGGCCTTCCGTTTAATATGCAAACGAGTGCATCGACTTCTTCTCGAGTCGGTGTTTATCAAGCGCATTGGCCCGCGAGATCCGCCAAAAACCTGACCAGAAAAGCGAAATTAGACGGAAAGAACGGTCAGCGCTTATTGGCGCTCAAGTCCTCGACCGTTTGTCTAATATAATGACGGAGGTCCTTGTCAAGCATACACAATGAAGGCCCCTACACACGACTACACATGTAGGTCTCTGGAATCTGCAACGGGCGTGTCGCTGTTCACCAGATTTCCTAGTCCGGTCTAATTATTGCCCCCACAGCACCGCCTTTAACGACTTACTGATTTTATGCAACATACAACTACCCCATAAAACATAAGATAAAGTACACGGAAACTTACAACCCTCATAAATTTAATGTCTATTACCACGCCCGGCATAAATAAAAATGTTTTATTTTTCAACGACAATTTACTCAAATTGCTAACGAAAAACTTTAAGCTGACGCCGATGAAAACACGTTGTATTAACACTATTATTCATTCACCTTTTTCACGTACAAAAACCTAAAGATTCAATTCTAGGTCTCTAAAAACCTTGAAATCTGTACACCAAGTAAATTACATAAACTTTAATATTTAGCTGTTATTTCGTTTGTCGAGAGGTTGTGAAGTGGTTTTTCTCTACTACTCTACTAGTCAATAATCATTTTCATTATGAACCAAGGGCTATAATGGGTTAGAGGTGGGTAAATGTCGATGTTGGAGGGTAGAATAGAATGATAGAAATATTTGTAGAATATTATTATTGAAAACTGTACCATCACAAGTACTAACGGAAGTATTTCGAGATGAAATTAATGCAAAATCAAATAAAAAAGACTTCAATTTTCTCATTAAAAACATTAGAATAAGCAATAACCCCAACTCTATTACTTCTGTCTATATCAAAACTGTCAAAATCAACAAATGAGTTTATTTCATGTTAAAATACATCGATAATGAGACAAATTTTAACACTTTTTCCCTTTTCTTTGTAGTTTCTTTATTATTTTAACAAATATTTCGCATTATGAAGTTAGAAAATTCCTTAGTGTAGAAGTAGGTAAGTAATTAATAACTGTAGATAATAGCGAATTAACAAAAAATAGTAGTGAATTACATGTTACGTCTGAGGTAACAAGTCCATTAAGTAGGGTTATATTTTTCACCCTTGTATTTCTGAATACCGTTACTTGCAACTTAAACTTGCAACAGTTTTGACATTTTAATGTGATTTTTGAAAAAATAATGTTATGTAAAATAAAACTTTTTAAATGTTCTGTCTTGATAAGACTTTCGTTCCTCAGTAAAAGAAACTTGTTCTAATAAGTAGTTTTCTTGTTTTTGAAAATAATATGGCTGTTGCAAATTACCAGAAGTTTGGGGTATATCCATAACACCAAATGTATATTTACTCCTGCTAATAGTTCTAGTTTTACTTTTTTTTTTCTGAGTGTGATCAATTATGTAATCAGATCATCTACATTGAGAAAAAAATATATTTTTCCGAGAGCTTTAGGCCTTCGATATTTTCTAAAAAAAATACTATAATTAAGGTAAATTATCAGTTGCTAAAACCTTAACATTTTTTTAAATTATTGTCTTGTACATATGCCAACACTTTTTTCAGTGTTTCTATCTATTGTATTCAAGTTTGCGTTTGTACTTTTTGGCATTATTGCATGTTACTCCTCAACTGTAACTGAATAACAAAAAATATATAACAAATTAAATAACTGTTTACTATATGTTGTGATCATAGTAACAGAATTACGAAAGTTAGTTTTATGAAAATATACCAGCGTCAAAAGAGTGGAGGTTACAGTTTCATTTCGGCATACAAAGTTTTTTTTTAATCGTAGTAAAAAATCCTTTAAATAAACAACAACAAAATGCAATATTTAGCGGAAATTACTTAATCACGTTACCTGCCGGGGGTATGTTACGATAGCAGAACAATAACTTAAAAACTAAAATTTTAGAGCCCTTTTTTTCAAATTCGTGCATTTTGTTGCACGAGGGTAATAAATGTGCTTGTAGTGAAAAAAATGTTATATAAAACACGGTACCTAGAGAAGATTTTCATAGCCTCGCATTTATTATTTAAACAGCTCGGCTATAAATTTTTTTTCGCTATGCTGTGATGTGATATACTATTGTTTTTGTGACGCAGAGACGCCAGTAAACGATAATTTTGACTTAAGTTAGGTATTTCCGCGTTTTGTTATAGGAAATGATTTAATAATGGTTAAAAGTAAAATTTATAGCTTAGTTAAATTGGAGAATAGCAGAGGGATGGTGAAAAAGTAATTATCATTCCCAATCCCACAGGAGTTAATTCGTAGTTGAATAGTAAAGGGAGAGAAAATTAAAGTTTGTTACAAATGTTGCGAAAACTCTTGTTTGTAGTTACATTTCAATTATTTGTCGCATTTTTGTCTGCTGTAACACTCATTGTACATAAAATAAAGAATTGTCAACAATTTGTACAAACGAAGTAACCTCTAAATAAACATTTATGAAATTATGATAGCTGTTGTTTTTTAATTACCGTCGCCGAATATATTTATTCACGAAGGAGGGAAATGGTAGATTTAGAAAAAAACTGTTTACCGTTGAGTGCTTTAATTGAGACCCTACTGAAAGCTAAATATATTATTAAGTGTTAAATTTTATAAAGCCCATAATTCATCGAGGGTTGTGTACGTGTATCTCATATATTTAGCCCGAGTATCGCACTTGTCTTCGAAGCAAACGATATACGTGAGAAATTACAGCTTGCCGTGAAACGAAACTTTCCTCCAACCAAGAATGAAAAAAATTCGGGAGTCACCTTAGGCGATCATAATTTACTTGTCTCGCTAACACCGACATATTATTTACGGCCGATAGATAGGGGTGATTTGTGACAGCGTGACATTTACCACCCCTAATTATTCCAAACATAATCGATCAAATTGACCGTTCACCCTTTTCTTTGTCTTAATTACCCTAAATAAGAGTAAAGGGTTAAATGGAATAGAATATTGCTTTTTTGAGACTTGCTGCTGTTCACTCGATAAAGTTAGTCGTCAATGCGCAGTAATTTTCATTAGCACCCTGATTGTTAATTCAAGCTACGTAAATTGTACCCCAAAATCAAGAAACTCGCCGTCTACATTTACATACAAAACTAATAGAAATGCGAATTAGCGAATTGTAAATCTCTCAGGATGCATACATTTGCCAAATTTATTAATTAATATTCGATATTTAATACAACTTGAAACTTTTTCGCCAAAAGACGCCTCCGCGGACGCCTTCATTAATCAACCTCTGACTTTATGATTAGATTTATTTTAATTTTAATATTTTTTAAAATGTATTAGTCCTAAATTTTAACACGTAATTACCAACGTTCTTTTCTTTTTTTAAATTAATAAGAACATTATTCATATTTAATTTGTTTATTCAGTTTATCATTTTCTTAAAAGATATAGAAGTGTTTAATTGTTGTATTTCGCGGAACCTAAAGTATCAAAAAGTCATCAAAATTCGGAAAGAGCCGTGGATGAATCCGACAGAAAAGCTGCCATAGTACTCAAATGTAAAATTTTATTTGGTGTGAATCAGTCGCAATAAAGGTGTAGTAAAATAGTGTTACTCTTTTATAGTCAAAAGAAAATTATCGGATAGGGGAAATAAAGTCGTAATTACATGATCAGCCTGCTTTATTTCAGGATTCGAAGGAATTTCAGACATACGCAGGACACGTCTCGCATTACTACGTGACATTTCTACACGTCTCTTCTTCAGTGAAAAAAGAGCCGTTCCCTAAGCTGGGTCGTGTTCTGTCTCGATATTAGGAATATGTCGTAGATAAATAACAATAACTTTCACTTTGGAAATAATCTGAATTAAAATGGCGGATGCGCCGGGAGTACACAATCATTTTCTTTCAGCCGAAATTATGAAATTTTTATGTAGCTGTGTGGGTAATTTCGCTAGTCTCTGCGGACTCATTAATCAGAGATGAAGGTGGAGAACCGTTTTAATTAAAGATAGATAAACATACCCACAACAAAAACGGCTTCGATTTCAAATCAGATTTTTTCTTAATTATGTAATTAAGTGAAAGGATATTGTGCGCTGCATGAGTAATTGTATGTAGCGACACTATCAAGGCAAGGGGATCTGAATCGAGTTCTCCTTTGATTAACAAAACGAAAATTCACAAAGTTAAAATGGAAGCATCTTTGAATTGTTACTTTTAGCGAGCCATGAATTATTGTTTTACAACCTTAGATGCAAATTGGTGAATGCGAGCTCCAATTTATAATCGTAAAGCAGAGCGCATATTTGTGCCTCCTGAATCTAATAGTAGTTTTACGATACGACTGTCAACGATTCAACAAAGTATGCAAAATCCACCCATAACTCTTTTTTTGCTTCACTTTAATAAGAAAACCAATTTTGACATGTATTTTTCAAAAGTTTGATGAATGTTGGATTAGATGGAATCCGGGGTATTTGAGCAAATTGCTTGCATTGCAGTTCAACCAAACAATTCCCAAATAAAACGGTTTTAATTAGAGTTTTAAGGCTGCCATTACTTTGTTGATTACATAACTCGAAAAACTATCAAAATGCTATAATTACGAAAATATTTCACGAACCGCAATCCACTTTATGTCTCAGCTATAATTTTCAGTGATGAATAGCGCCAAGTGGGCTAAATATACCATATCTTTACACCAAATTTTTTACACTAGAATAGATTGAAATTTTATTACAACGCTTGGGTTACCATAAATTTTATTTTTATTATTTCAACCGAGATAAATAAAACCATGCACAAGTTGCGTTTCAACAACTTCCTAAACATTTAATTATCTTACACCTTTCACTGCGTTGACAAATTACTGCAATTTACGGCAATTAATTTACCAATTCGTAGCAATTATTGGTTGGAATTTCTCTCTAATTAAGGTTCCTTGATGACGTTTACTCGAAAGGAACCTATCCCAACTAATATATTTCTACAGAATTTATCTTAACCGTTTATCCGACTCAAGAAATAAGCCTCCAATTAAATCAACGCATCGGCAACCACCAATACACTCAAATACACAACTTCAATTACGAAATTTTATTATTACATAAATTTACAGTCTTAATCTTAACTATTTAAAAACTAAAATTGCATTTTCTTTGGTGAACTAAATAAAAACGTGAACTGAAAACCATGAAATACACATGTATAACATTTACGTCTGATTAGATTACAAAATAGTAACACAATTAGTTAAAAAAGTAAGTCCAAATTTGTGAAATCAGTCAATCACGAAAGCTGCACGTTATTGAGACACTGACTAGTTAAACTATCGAAAGGAAAATCCTCCTCATCGCCGCTTGACTCCTGACTCGATGGAGGAGTATCCAATTGGGGGAGCCCCAAATCTAGGTACTCTTCATTTGCTGTGATCGTCAAAATTCTGTCAAGATCCTCCACAAGTTGCGAAAAAGTCGGCCTTTCGTTCGGTTTGTAACTCCAACATTCTCGCATCAAAATGTAAATTTCCAACGAACAACATGGCGGCTTTTCCATACGGTGGCCATTACGTAAAAGTTGGAAAAGTTTTTCAACACTCGGAACAGACGGATATGGTGTACCTGTTATTTGATTACAAATATGAATTTTTTGACATGTTGTACAAACCTCCAAGTGTCATTATCTCCCATAATAAGATACCATACGACCAAACGTCGGATTGGGTGGTGTAAACTCTATGGAAAAGCGCTTCCGGTGCCATCCATTTAACCGGAAGTCGTCCATCGGTTGTTTTTCTGTAATAATCGTTACAGTGGATATCTCGAGCAAGGCCAAAATCTGCAATTTTCAAAAAGTAGTCATCACTGACCAACACGTTTCGCGCTGCTAAATCTCGATGAATACACTAGAAGTCAATTTTATTATTGCGTTATATTAAAATTAAAAAAAAATTACTCGTCGCGATGCCAGATACTCCATTCCTCGAGCTACCTGATACGCAAAAGAGACCAAATCTTTCTGAGTCAAAGTTTTCTTTTCTTTTTCTTCAAGACCGATAGCTGGTTCGTAGCCAGATGAGGGTCTGTGTTGTCGAAGAAAATCCCTTAAGTTGCCATAAGGAGCGTATTCCACTACAACGTATAAAGGTCCACCTTGGGTACAACAACCCAATAAATTGATAATATTGTTATGTTTTCCTATCATTTTCATCATTTCCATTTCTGATACTAAATCCATCATTTCGTTATCAGTGTGCCCTTCTATTGTTAAAAATGAAATGTTTGTGTTTACAAGTAGTGTTTTATTTACCTTTCAGCATTTTTACTGCGACTATACTTGTTACACCAGGTTTTAGCAAACCTACAGCTTCAGCTTTGACAACTTTACCAAAAGCTCCTTCACCCAAACTTTTTCCAAGACAAAGCAATGATCTTGGAATTTCCCAATCAGAATCCATTGGCAACTCATATTCAGAAATCATTCCATCTCCGGAATTATTATTTTGGCTTTTTTGTTTTTCTATTTTAACCACCGGCATCAGCAAAGGTTCGGAGACATCCTCGTTAGTATTTTGTATTTTTTCGATAATAACTTTTTTAGTCCATTGAGTAACAACAGCAGCACGAACTGTTTCTAAAGCTAACATTTTTTTCTGCTTATCACTAAAATGAAAAATGTGAGAAAAATTTTTTTGGTGAAATTACGTACATCTTCAACTTTTTAAAGAACACCAGCAAGATGGAACATATCAAAATTAGAATAATAAAGAAAATGGCCACAGCTGCGTAGACTATAAAATGATTCTTAGGTTCCACTTCAAAACCTATAAAATTGTGTTTTGAGTAACAAATTGTTTCAAAATTAAAAACTTACTATCTACAACTTTTAGATATCCTTTTGAAGCCGTTTGACCTAAACTATTCGCTGCAATGCATACATACCAACCCTCATCTTGATATGTTACATTATTTATTTCATACACTTCAGGATTATCAGTGTCTCCACTTTTCTATTGTTGGAAAAAATTTGAAGGTATTAGAGAAAATAACAAAAAAGTTATCGTTCAGTGAAAAATGTAAAGTTAGATTGTTAATTGGGATTGAGAAATTGAAAATTTGGTTAAAAGAAAGAAAAATACCTGCACCACAACCGCACTCTTATTGGGGTATTCCCTAGTCCATTGAATGAAAGGGTTTAAATCAGCAAGAAAGGTACAAGTGAGATTTATACTTGTGCCCACAACCGCAGTCGTGTTTTCTAATGGATGTGTAAGGACAGGTTTGTTGTGATAACGTTCTAGAAAAGAAATGAATGATAAAAACCGCGAAAACCAGATAATTAAAAAGCAGAAAGAATATGATTTTGACCACCACCGCACCGCCCACAACCGTTCTTATGTACCTTTAAAACGCTTTTGTTATAATTAGTGAAATTTTCGTAATTTTCCGATTCGTTGTATCGCACCCATTGTATAAACGGTTCTAGATCAGCGATCATTTGAGGACATTCAAATGTCGCGTTGGTGTTTACCAAAACTGTGAGGTTTTGAGGATAACCATCTTTAATGTATGGTTTTGACGGGAAACGTTCTATTTAAATCATTTTTACTCAACTTTCGCAAAATAAATAGTAAACAAAGACTTACCAATAACGTCAACTCTGTATGTAAAATTAATACAACCAAGTTCATTGCAAACGACACAAGTGTAATCACCGGTGTCACCAGTAACTAAATCTTCCAAAGTCAAACTCCAGTGTTGATATCGAATATCACCCAATTGACGTTTTGGAGGTTTGTCATCTTTGTACCATGTGATGTTAGGAGTGGGATTTCCTCCAGCTTTACATTTGAGGTTCACCATGTTACCAGCAGGTTTCACTTGCATTTTGGACATTTTTTTGGGGTTTATCCAATAGGGGGCTTTCTTCTCCGTTTCTCGTTTTTTACGAAGACCTAACATTTTTCAAAAATCAATAAACAATTTTCATAAAAACAATTAATGCTTACTATTGACAACTTTCAAATATCCCTTTGAAGCCACTTCTCCTAAACTATTTGTTGCAATACATACATACCAACCTTCGTCTTGATATGTTACATTTTTTATTTCATACACTTCTGGATTGTCAGTCTTTTGTACATTTAAGACGCTTTTGTTGTAAGTAGTGAAATTGTCGTAATTTTCCAATTTGTTGTATCGCACCCATTGTATCAACGGTTCTAGATCAGCGATCATTTGAGGACATTCAAATGTTGCAGTGGTGTTTACCAAAACTGTGAGGTTTTGAGGATAACCATCTTTAATGTATGGTTTTGACGGGAAACGTTCTATTTAAATCATTTTTTCTCAACTTTCGCAAAATAAATAATAAACAAAGACTTACCAATAACGTCAACTATGTATGTAAAATTAATACAACCAAGTTCATTGCAAACGACACAAGTGTAATCACCGGTGTCACTAGTAACGAGATTTTCCAAAGTCAAACCCCAGTGTTGATATCGAATTTCACCCAATTGACGATTTGGTGATTTGTCATTTTTGTACCATGTGATATTGGGAGTTGGATTTCCTCCAGCTTTACATTTGAGGTTCACCATGTTACCAGCAGGTTTCACTTGGATTTTGAACATTTTTTTCGGGTTTACCCAATAGGGGGCTATCTTCTCCGTTTCATATCTCCTTCTAACTTTGCAAGGTAGAGTTACATTGGAATCCGAATCTAAAGAGGCATTTTTCAAATAGGTAACATCAAAGTCACAAGGTTCTGAAAAAAATTATTAAATTTGTTTTTGGGTATTACTACACTGACAAACCTTTTGCTAATAGAATAAACGTATGATTGATACAATCTATCGAATTGCAAGCAACACAAGTATAATTTCCCGAATCGTGTAGATTAAAATGTTTCACAACTAAAGCCCATTGACTTTGAATAGTTTTTCTCCTTTTTTCTAACAATTTTCTGCCATTTTTATACCATGATATAATGGGAAGAGGATTTCCAAATGCTCTACATTTTAAAACCGCTTTTCTATTAATCCCCACTGATACGGTTTTTTTCATTTTATTTGGTCTACGAAAGTGTGGTTTCATTGTACGATTACCAAATCTTGTAGAAAAATTAGAAGTGGTTTTTTCTAATTTTGACTCATTCGAGGTGTCGAGATCATTGTTATTAAATGTGTTTGCATCAAATGGTTCTATATAAAGTCGAGGTTACGTCCTGTAGAGCTTCACTTTAATAAACTTACCAACAACAAGGTTGTAAATGCGATGAATACAACGAACTATGTTACAAACAAGACATTTGTACAAACCGTTGTCTTCAGATTGGAGATTTCGGATGTGAAGGTTTTGATGATTTGGATATCTTCTGTTACTGTTGGTTTCATTGATAAGATTGTGGTCTTTAAACCACGAAACTTGAGGTTTTGGTGTACCTTTAGCACCACACTTCAGTATAGTGGTTTCGCCTTGCCTTCCTGACACAAGAACTGGTAAATTGCGTTCTATAAAATATGGCGCTTTGTCTTCGGTTTGATTTGAAGGTGTGTGTGCTAGAATGGTAAAATTACTTGCATTACAAGCCTTTAGTGACCTTCTTACAACTTGATATCAGGGCCTTGGTGCAAGTCGCTAAGACGAAGAGGTACCAAATATTCGGAATCATGATGTCTCTGAAAAGAAGAGTTTATTTTGAGTAACGGAAAGGCTTTTCATGTCTCAGCCTGAGTGAAATATATAAATCTTATTAATATCCTTAAGCTTTCACTAAATAGGTTTATGAAAAAATGTCACTAGTCCGCGATCCATATAATAATTTAGAGGATTAATTTTAACCACGTCGCTTCTGCCAAGCGTTGATTTTTTAAATTTAGCTCGAATCTTGAAGTTTGAGGTAAATTCGGCTTGAATTAACGTAATTAAAAGTTGTGACAAAGTCGAGGATGTTTTTTCAGGTGTCGCGAGATTAATAATTCCATCCGTTGATTATGTAATTAACACAAATTGTCTTGCATCTGTATAAATATTTTGGAGATGACTTGACAAATTCTCAAGTTGGCAAGACCTGAACCGCAGGTAGTGCATCATTGGAGGGACTAGGAATGGTTATTGCTGACTAAAAACAGGCACACGTGTTTACCACATGTGCAGAACAGTAGACGGAACGGGCTAGTAGCGTATTTCCGTTACAAGTCTACCAACTTCTTCACCTCGGCTTCAGGTTCGATGTGTTTTAATATTTAGAGCCCAATCGGGTTTATGAGGGATTATTAATAAGATTATTGCTTCAAAGTCAGATCTTGACCCGGAGATCAAAGCTTAGAGTTTCCAGAAACTCCACAAGTTTCTTTCATTCGTTTTATACAGATTATCTACGCATAAATGTCTTTGTTGGCTGTTATTTCTTGAATTATTCAATCTAATCTAAAAAGGGACAATCGGAATGGCGTCACGTATGCAACGAAGGTCGCGTCAAACAATAAATGGAAACATTCTTGATGAATTTTAAAAGATCGACTTGATCACACTAGGGATTTAATCACCGAACTGACCTAAATACATGGAATAAACCGTTTTCCTCAAAGAATTCATTGTAGTTGGGCAAAGCAAAGAAAAAGTGTGCCTGCCTCTCTGAGCACAGCGTCTTAAAGCAATTTACAACAATTCAATGGAGTTACAAAGTCAGAAGTCTCTTCGGTACGAAATGACCGGAAATAAGGGATGTTGCCTTGTTGCCAACTTGTAAAACACAAAAATGGACATATGCTCGACCTAGAATTTTTATTACGTTGACTTCATTGTTATTGTTAAGATATTTAAATAATTTCCGATCTATATAAAACCCGGGTTAAAATCAATTACGGGATATCCGTGTCTAATTTATTTCTATTTTAGTGCGCTTGCAACGATTTCTGGTCATTTTCAACCTTGGAAATCAATCATAAACCAGACGTCAAACAATCCATATATTAAAACGCGTTTCGGAGAAACTGTAAGTATCCAATTGAAAATATTGCAAATTCTATGAAAAATCAATGCAGATTATGAGTATAAAACAAATGGGAGAAACTTTCCAGTATTTTTTGCGGTTGGCTTGCTGCCAGAGGGTTTCTTAAAATTCGTCTGAGATACATTTGTCAGAATAAATCACTATTAGAGCGTGGAATTTTAATAATTAGGTTATTGTTAGGTAAGTCGGTAATATTTCACTATGGTCAAAAAAGCCATATGGCCCTTTATCATCCCAACTAAGACGTGTTCCTGTGCGGGCCCCGTCGTAAATTAATAGAGCCCCTTATTATATATCAGATGTTATCTCGCTCCTGTAGAAAGCACAGACACTGGCCCTACACAGGTTTATTTATTCTCTTCTTCCTACCATGCAGTGTCATCCCATTTAAATAAATCCCACGCAATTCGAACTCGACTTACCCACAACACGGACCACACACTTTTTCCAATTCGGACCGATCTGCCAATAAAACACTAATTTCAACACCACAAATCCGCGATTTTCCTTACACCCGACATTTTCCCCGTCGATTGTTTGACAAAGAACAATGTTATTGTGCCCAATTTGGCGCTCTGACGTACAACATTCATAACAACGCTCGAAATTTTAAATAATATAAATGAACAACCCTGACACCCGTCTCAAACCTCAAGGGAAGTTATAGTTCATCACCGCTTCTGTTCAACTACGTCCATCATAATGCTATAAATAGCCAAAAATCCATAAAAATTTTAATGCCATTTTGTTATGTTCCCCGCTATTTTTACATTTTTGCTTTATTTCAACAATCAGAGATACAACATAAATCACAATTTCCCCTCACACATGCAACTTTGTCTCTCTCCTATCTATTTAAAATTTATAACACACAATTCATGAATTATCTAACACTTCTCTCAACTGGTCCCGCATACACAATTCAAAATTTTTTCAAAAATTTGATTCGGGTGATTGACTCCGTTAGCTATTTTCGCCGCGAATTCCGCATATGAAACACGGAAAAATTATTCACATTAACAACCGGAAGTTTCTAAACAGTTGGAATTTTTCAGTTATATTTTTCCTTTTCGACCAATTAATATAGCTAGTCACGAAAATACCTGTCACTTAAAATAGCTTGATATCCGAATTAAAAAAAATATTTGTCACGTGCATACAAGCTGTTAGACTTTGTCAAAGATTCAGAGTGGGGTGAGAGTAATAAAACTAACGCCGTTTTTAATTTACTACCCATTATTTGGGGAACAAAACACAATAAGTGTTGAAATTCAATACAAACAGTTGTTTAAAGTTAAAAGCTTGTGACAAATGATAAACATCGACGATCAGTAGATAAAATCTATAAAGAAAAAATTTATGACATCAGATACGTTACAAAATCCAACGTCGTGTGTAATTATCCTAGATCATTAATTTTCCACGTTTACCGCTGCAGCTAAACGTTTTACTGTACAAAACAGTCAATTGTTTTAACAGAAAGCTTTTCATAATTTCTTTCCCTAAAATTGGGTATTAGGACACTCTAATACATGCCAATCGTTGTGACAAATAAAAATTGTTATCTCGGTTTTAAAGGGCGGAAAAGTGATTTTTACTAGTTTCACAACAGGTTCTAAAAAATGCTAATTGAATTAACTCAAAGGTGCTAAGAGAAAATTTTAATTGTTCTAATATTTATTATTTGAAAAATGATACAATGAACTTGTGCGTTTGTCCGGTTTCTTGAAGCTTGATACATCGCTGATACATAGAGTGAGTCAGGGGTACTATGATAATAATTTCCGTGGGAAATTAATGTTCAAATGATTAGCCCTCATGCCTGATTGGGGCCGAATTAAGAAATGAGTTTTTTGAGGATAATGGCGGGGTAGTAAAGTGTTTATTCTGTTGACACAGCTGGTTGAATAATGGCTATTTAAATGTTTGGGCAATTTGTAGTGGAATGAAGTGATTTAGTGGAAACTAAACGAGTTGTACGTAATCCGACACCGAAAACTTTTGGCGGTATTTTATCCTGGCCCATGAACCAACCGCTTGGACAACATAACCACCGGATATAATTTAACAAGCAATTCAAACCTTAACTTATTAAGATGCAGTGCGACCAACTCACTCGGATCTATTTAGTATTCGAGTTGTATACAGTGTGTACCTTGCGAATGATTATGACGAGAACAATAGCCTTAAATAAAAAAAATAAACTATTAGCATTCCTATTCGATAGTTGAAGCTTTTGCTTCGTGTCTGGTTGTCAATTTTAATCAAAAGTGCAGCTAGGATCAAAGATGCGAAAATAAACCGAAATCGAGTTCATCGAAATTAATTTTTTCAATGTAAACAAGCCGATTTTTAGGATGTTATGATGGAATTAAGCGTCGATGGATGAGAAACAGTAATGGAAGCTAAGTGCAGCTCGTGATAAAACAGATAAACAAGTTAGTGTTAGTCCCTTAAAATCGAAAACTATTAAATGCAACAATGAATCATTCATGTGGGAGAATTTTTGAATACATTATAGTGAATATGTCTTTTAGTATTGACCACACGAGTGCCATTTGTAAACCACAATAACGTAACAATTATGCAATGATTGGCCGTTGTATGATAATCGTAAGGACGCACATGGCCCATCAGAATTTTTTCAAGATGCAATCAAGCTGAATCCAAAATAACCGATTTGCATTGCGTCACAAGTTTATCAATTGTCGGTAATTCGGCTTAATTGAGCCAATTGGAGCCCAACTTACCCATCAGAATTGCTCGCAAATCGTCCAAGACTGCACAAAATCACTTCTATTTCGGTCCAAGATCACTCCGCACTCCTCTGTCTCCGCTCAAAAGTCAAAACTGGCCGGATTTAGTCCCTCGGAAGGACCGCATTTTCGAAACATGCGGGTTTATGAATGAAAATAAAAGTTGACACGCGCGGACAATAGGCTGCGATTTACTACTCTATGACTATACTCTGGCACTCTCAGAGGAGTACTACGGACGCAGACAACGTCTGGCGTGGGCGAGATGCGACTTCTGTTCTGTTCTTAACTACAAGTCTATTTCTACCACACTACTGTATAGCACGATCAGCCGGATAAACAAACCACGGCACACTTCGCCAATGCGAAAACACTGCAATTACACCAAACGACTTAAGTCACATCGACTTAAGTCAATAAACACACCGAAATGACGACATGATCCTATTAAACGACCCAAAGTTGGAAAACAATTAATTACACACAACTAAACGAGCTAAACTTACAACTGCATTTTTGGATTTTTTACTCTGAACTTAAAACAAGGACATAATGGTTGCGTCAAGACTTGGATTGTCTTTCAACTGATAATTCTGCAGTTGGTATTTCTTTCTTTCAAAACAATGAATAGTACCTATTCCAGTTTCGTGACCAAAGCTAAAGACTAACACACCAAAACAAACGCAATAAAACAGTGGGTTTGTTCGGGTCTGAGACATATCACTGAAGTCAACATTGTTAAAAAAAAAATTAATAAAATGTGAAATAATAAAAAATCGCCAATTCAAAAAACAGAATATGTAGAGTTCAATTACTGAATTTCATTTCCAAAAAAAATTCCAGTAATCCACCGTCATTCCGTGGTTTTCAGACTAATTCCTATAATTCCAAATTAAAAATCTAACGTAATTTTGAAAATAAGTCATCTCCGATAATTCCAAAAAGTATTCCAGTAATTTACAAATAACTCCAGTAACTTCAAGAAAATTTCATCGAAATTCCAGTAATTTCAATAATCTATCGTAATTTCATTGTTTTCCAATTAATTCCTATAATTCCTGTAATTCCAACTTAATTCCCGTAATTTGAAAATAAACTAGTCAAAATAAAAAAGAATCCACTTTTAAAAATCTGAATGTTTTTTGGAGGAAATAATATTTTTACTTATAATATCCCGAGTACATTGTTGTTCTCGGAAATTTTTTCGAGTGATTGTCAAAAACGTCACTAATTACACGTTTTTGAAACGAAAAAAAATATCCGGATTCAAGCAATGCACGAGGGGTATTCGGGTGAAAATTGTATAATATCAAAAGTTCAAGTAAGTAAATCTTAGTTTGTGATGTTTACTAATTATTTGAGGTTAGTTGTTGTGACAAAAAAATTTCGGAAAATTTTTGTGTTGCAATGGTAATCATATTAAATACTAAATTCAGATTAGTGCTTCCATAGAGTCATGCAATTTTCATTACAATTCTTGTTTATACAGGTGCGCCAGAACTCGCGCCCCAGAGAAAAATTTCAAGTAAGAACCAGGAACCTGGAACCTGGAAAAAATTCTATCTGTCAAAAAATTTTGACATTTATTTTTTGACATTTGACATTTTTTATGTCTATACTCTTTTTCATATTAATATGCATCAAGTAAGTTGTGGAAGTCCAAATGCATCTTTAATTTAAAGGCCGATTCACACAAAAAATGTCATTAATGTCATTCAGAACAAATCTAATCACATCATCAATGATGACAAAAATCTTTGTTTACTGCCCCATGTTAATTACGTTGTTTATTTTAATTATTTTATGCTACCTGGGGTACACATTTATTTGGAAAAAGAATTTTTAGGGAAGATTGAGTTTAGGATGGTTTGAATTTTCGCATGGTTGCCACCTTTCAACGACTATTTTGATGCACATTAATATGAAAACGAGTATATTTAATGATGATGATGATCTTGTATGTTCTTTTTTACAATTATTTAATAAAGGTACAAAAATTTTGCCAATAGAAGCCACAAATAACATTGAACAGAGTTACAATTTAGAATACAGCTTCCTTATTTCCTCTTCTAATAACCTACAGCAAAAAAAACCTTGAAAAATTATTTTTCCAACAGAAATAAATAGAGTCAAAGTGCAAAACAAAAACTCTCATAACTTTTCATAATTTTTATAGATATTTTTTTCACTGGGGCGCGAGTTCTGGCGCATACTGTATAGTTATTTTAAATTATACTTTAGTAAATTTTGTGGTACTGTATGTTTGATTTTTAGATTACTGGGTAGTCGCCAAGCTTACTTTATTAATATCACAAATAAAATTTAACAAAACAAAAAAGTGGCTCTTTTTTCGTGTTGACTAGTCTAATTCCGATAGTTCAAAAAAATTCAACATAATTTAAAAAAAAAATATTTCCCATAATTCCAAAGAGTTTCAGTAATATTAAAAAAATTAAATAATGTTTGTATTTAATTCAAAAATAATTCCAGTAATTCTAAACAATCCAAAAATAATTTTAATAGTTCCAAATACTTCGAAATAGATCTAAGCAATTTCGACTAAATTCTAAAAATTTGTACAACTAATTTCAGAGTTAACGATTTTTCCGATATTTCCACTTTCGTGGAAACAACAAACGCAATCAAATAATTCGTCTGCCCTGATTATTTTTTTTCAGTCTCAAATTTATAAGTGGTCAAATAGTTGCCAATCAAATACTAGTTTGTTATTGTTGAATTTGATAGCTGACGGATCCTGAAACATGTTTTACGATATTGACATCTGGTATTGATTTCAGTTTCAATTTTCAACATCAAACAATAATAAATTTAAGAAAAAGCAGTTAATGTACGACTACGTACAAGTTTGCGCAAATGTTTAATTTTTATTTTACAGTTAATTGTCCCTGTGTTCCTTCTTTTAATTTATTTACACCTACGATTCACCAGAATTGTGGTAATTCAACCACGCAAATGTCGATTTCTCTCTCCTTCGGACAAACTAGTTAAACAGTTAACAGCACTTCATAGTCACTTAAATTTATGAAATTATTGCACAAGTTAAAAAGAACTGGATAAAACGGTTCTTAAGTTAAACTTCAAAAATAGAACAAAACAGAATTATCATAAAGCAAAAGATTATTTTTCTAAGAGTATTGGGGCCTAAGAATTGTGTATTGACGGTGTATACAATTACTCAACACATTTGTTTTGCTGAACAGTGGTGTTGAAAATGATATATGAGTAACGTACTAAAGAAATTGATTATTCATAAAGGGTAAGGATTGTAAACGGACGTCGAGGTATACTATATTTAAAGTCACTCCAACATTCGCGAATCTGTTTATAGTCGTTGTAGAAACATAAGTTCAGAGAACAATATCTGACGTATCCGCTAGATTAAAATTCAATAGTTAAAAGTCTCATAATCATAAAAAAGTGACAAACGATATTTTTAAATAAAACTTAACGAGCGTTCTCCCACGAGAAAATTCAGGTAAAAAAAGGTAAGAGGATATCAAAAATAACCCAAACCGGAAACGGGAAACACCGCACGCGCCTTTCATATCTCCGTGCTGGATGTCACAGTATACGATGTGTCTAATACCAGCAAGTCTACAAGCACAGGTGCATCCCGGGTTTTAAAGACTGCCGCCGGAATTGCTTTCAACGCGGTATATTATATGCCTTTGGCTGTTTTTCCAGGACTGATTCTTAATTAACCTCAACCTTGAATTCAGACGGAAAAAAAGAACCCTCCTCGCGTATTTATACTCTTTTATTTTCGTCCATTACAGTTTTTCATGAATGACGTCACGAGAAGATCGCGCAAAAACTTCTGTTTAAATTTCTACAACAACCCATTAGGGAAAGATGATGGGATTTTCCCTTTACCCGGATACGTGACTACATTTGTACCAAGCAAATTTTACACAGCTGCGGCCGTAGCACAAATCGGATAATTCTCTACCAGACGACCAGACCAGACCCACTTCTTGTGCCACAAATACACAAGAAGAATTAAAATCGTTCCAACATTGGATAAAATTATTAAACATTATTCAGAGGCGTCCAACAGACAATAATACACGCCCACCAACGCACATATTCACAATACGCCCAGATTTTTTTTAATAAAAGAACAAACAAAATGAAACATGGTTTGCACATTTATTAAATCGATAAATGCACTTCAAAACGATCAAATAATTATAGTCGAAATTATTTAACAGAATAAAATATATAAATTGCTGGTACAGTTATTGACGAATTTAATCAGCAATTAATTATGAACCGCACGCCACTGACTAGCGGTTTCAACCACATTTATATTTGGCGCCTTTGCAACTCCATAGCTAAAAACAGACATAAACCAAAATATTGAACACAAATGTTAATTTTTAACCATTCAGTTATTAGTAGTAAATAGGTAAATTACTGACGTAGGTAGTTTCTGCATTGATTCTATTTTGGACTCCAAATCGATAATTAAGTTCCCTAAAATGCAAAGCACATATAATTTAACGTTAATTTTCCACATACACTAAAATAGAAATTAATAACAAATTTAATGGTAAATTTATTGCACGCCGCACGCCACTGTATTGACAAATGTGACGCCACTGAAAATTCAAACATGGCAGTAGATTAAAAACTGAAAAAAATAAACAAAACATAAATTTTGTATTAATTTGAATTAAAATTGTAGAATTTATATAATTTAACAATTTTTTTTATTAAAAAATATTTTTGTTAACATGGATCCATTATTGATTGTACGGTTGACGCATGCGCAGTCAAATGACGTTCAAAATTTAATTTAATTTTTTTATATTGTAAGATTACGAGAAATAAAACTAAATAAAAAAATATAAATTTGTAATTGTAATACTAATTTGTGTAACAATTACRAAATATTTGTTAATTCAACGAAAAACCGTTAAGTTTAAATGGCCTTATGAACACAGTTGTTCCACGTCGACGACTGCGTAGTCAAATGGCGTTATAAAATTTTAATCAAGGTTTTTTATTTTGTAAAAACGTGACAAATGACCAATTTTAAAAATATAAATTAGGAATTAAAAACAAATTAGTTGGCAAATAATTGCTAATTTAACGCTAAATGTTCAAATATACAATACTAGGTTATGAATACAGTTCGCCTCTTGACTACTTTTTCCGGCTGTATTAGTAGTTGACGCCTGCGTATCAAAATGGCGCTCTAACCYTTCGATTCAAGAAAAGTTTTTGAGAAAAACGTAGAAGAAATCAAAATTTGTCAAAAATGGATCCACGTCACGTAATGCCAAACTATCCCCCTGCTCCAAGCACCAGTTACGGGCGAAGATACGTCATCGTGAGAGTAAATAACTTGGATTTTGGAACCTCGGAAGCTACCCTTCAAAATTTCTTTTCGAGTTGCGGACAAATRCATGAATGTRTTATTWCGCGAAATATAGACACTAACACCAGTCGCGGTTATGGGTATGTCAAATTCTYTCGTYTTGGGGATGCTCTAAGAGCCTGCCGCAACTTCAACGGCGAAGAATTGGACGGCCGGACTTTGCAAGTTTACCCCCAGGACAAGTTTTTGAGACGCAAACTTGAAAAAGAAGCACGCGACCGCGAAAGACGC